ATTTTGTTTTTCTCAAACATGTGTGAATTGTTAGCTTTGTTATCAAAATTCCCACGTGATTTAGGACAACTTGATATCTGAGTGTTTGTAGCAAGGCCTTGCAGGTCTGTGTTTCCTGTCTCTAGTGTGGTTCCAGGGTGTCTGGATCATTAACAGCATATATGGCGACTACAAGAAAAAAAATCATGAAATTATTTTTTATTTTGTCCTTTATAATGCAAAATAAAGGAATTTAAGTAATTTGTTTAATGAAATCCATGGAGCAACTTTTATTTGAGTTGCATAATCACTTTTCACCTTTTTTTTTTAATTTTCCAGGCAAGAAGCCTAATGCGTATATTTAGAAAACAATGCAAGTTTCAGATTTTGTATGTTCTTACATGATTTATTTATTTATTTATATCTTACACTTGGAGATCTTTTGGAAAAAGGTTAAATGCACACACACACACACACACACACACACACACACACACACACACACACACACATCCTTATGTATAAAAAAGAAAAGAAGGAAACAATCAATATATATATATATATATATATATATATATATATATATATATATATATATATATATATATATATATATTAGGATATTTTAGTCTTTTTTAATAAACTTGTTTAATTTGAGGAGCTCATGCCAACCTCTCTCTCTTGTGGAAGTGAAACTGTGAAACTTTCTGTGCCTGGACAGAAAATTGAACCAATTTAGAAAATATGCTGATGCAACCAGCCTTGGAGTGCTGTGGTTACTCTTTCATTTGTGGAAAAAGGAGACATCCATCTTTATTGATTCCCAAACTGCTGTCACTCTGCGACCTTGTCTTTCAAGCCATTCCATTTCCGTCGACGCCACATGATGGATGAAATGATGCTCTACTCAAAGAACTTTCTGTGCTGGATCTAAATGAGTAATGGAAGATCAGCGGTCAGCTGAGGCTTTTGGCTTTGGTTAGTGACCTTAAATAAGACTTTTGATTTTAATTCTCATCCAAAATGTGAGTTTTTCATTGGCTTCCAGGTGTGACCAGAAAAGTCACTTAAAGCATTTTTGCTTAATGCACTGAAACTTTGATCATACATGAAGGAATTGTCTGTGAACATCCACTGTGTTGGTTTTCTTCATGGACTGACAGTCGCTGCTGCTTTTTCAATGAAAAGTACAAGTGACTCTGAAGGCCGTGACAATTATTGCACGGGACGTAAACACCACGGGGGACACTGTGCTCTATTTTCCAATAATAAAGTTGCATCCTGGAATAGATAACCTTTTGAACATCTCACTCTGGGATTTTGAGGGATTAATAATACAACACACAATCTGGTAAGTGTATGAAAGCTTACTTTTGTTCTTGTTGCGGATGGTAAATAAAAAAGAAACTGCAAGACATGCACCTCATGCATTTAAACAATATAAAAAGGCATGTAAAATGTAATAATTTTGGCTCTGAAAGAGCCTCTTTCCATGCCATTGCAGATAATGTTTTTTTTCTTCAAACTTCTCTATCTAAAGGAGTCATGTCTTGGTTGCTCCCAAGAGCATCAAACGTCTCTTTTTGTGCTCTCTTTGATCTGGCATCATCTCTGGGGTCTTACATCAAGAGCCCTAGATTTATTGATCAATAGCCATAAACAAAACACCGATCGAGCTGGACACCGAGGCAAAACTAACATATTTTTACAGCATTTTTCATCTCCCTTAACGCGGTTTGGTTAGCTGAGTGGTAGAAGTGTGCCATCCAAAGCAGAGCAGGCATCACAGATGCAGCAGATTTACCCAAAGTGAATTGAAATGACTAAAATCTTGCTTGCATTAGAGTAGAAAGGTGTTACTGGGTGCACAAAATAAGTGGATGAAAAGAGAATCATGTGTAATCCAATTGTTTTTGGCGTGGCATCGGGAATAATACCCGTCAATCCCATTTTCAGTGCTTGAGTATGCAGAGCACGAGAGCTGGAGTGAGATTATTTCTTTGCAACTGTGTGCATTTATGTGTACACAAGTGTGTCCTTGTGTGTGGGTGATGTGGATTCCCACTCATTAGTGTGAAGTCACACACAGAATATTTATGCTGCTGTGATAACTTGGCTGACAGCTGCATATTTCACCGGGTGGAGAGCCCTGCATTGCGGTGCTAGCACATGGCGGCCGTGCTCTTTGTGGGAGTGTAGCTTATAGGGTCAGACAGGAAGAGGAGAACAGACACATCATCATCATCTCCGTTCTCTGTTGGTATGAGGAATGCTACACTAGAGCTGAGGTTCAAGTATACCTTTAAAACACACAGGACATTGCATCTTCATAGCATCACTGCTCAAAGTGAGATTTTATTTGACATTTATAACTATTTTTAGACATTTTGAACAGGTTGAGTTGAAGCAAAATTTAACAAATTGTTGTTGTTTTTTTTGTAAAGAAAATGGTTTCTCTGAGGCATGACACAGCTGCTTGAGGTTGGTGTTTTGCTTTTTGTGAGGCTTGCAGTTCTTCAGCAGCCTGGCGTACCAGGCTCCTCCTCTGTTTAATTATGCACAGAGAACGAGTCTGGGAACTCTCCTATTCAAATAACCCCACCCCCTGAGAATTCTAACCGAGCCAATCAGTGCTGAGTATCGTACGTCACACACCATAACACCAAGTTTGTCATAAACATGGCGACTGAAGTAGCGTTCGCTGCGGCTCTTTCTTCTGTTCTAAATTACCTGAATGTCTTTAAAACGACAACAAGTAGAAGCACTAAAAGCATTTCTTCTAAAAGAATAAAAGATGTTTGCGCCGTTGCCAGACGTCTTTTTTTCACTACAGCTAAAGAAAACTACAGCGCTGCGTGGTACAGTCAGCATTTCCGTCTTTATTCTGATTGGTTATTTTTGAGCTGCCTAGTCCCGCCCCTCATGTGCCTCTCTGCCTGTGGGTTACCAGACTCTCTCTGTGCAGAATTAAACAGAGGACGAGTCTGGCAGGCCAGGCTAGGTCCTAAGTGCTCCCAAATCCGGCCTGACTTTTTCAGTAAGTTTGGACATAAAATCACAAACATCATCTGGCTTTTAGTATCACAAGATATTATACCGTCTCTCTTGTATTGTGACATATATCATATTTCCAGATACTTGCCAATAAACAAGGAGGGTGAAGTGTCTTGCCACACAGCACACAAACTGCCAAAGACTGAGCAGTGCATGGACCATGGGGGATGATAATGCACAATTGTTTGGTCCCATGACAGTAATAGTAACAATTTCACAAGTGTAAATGCATGTGGTGTGAATAATAATAACAATAATATCTACCTATCTATATATATATATCTATATATATATATATATATATATATATATATATATATATGTGTCTTTTGCAGTTTTTGTGTTGTGTGGCAAGACACTTCACCCTCCTTGGTGGTGGTTGGAGGGACTGGTGGCACCTGTGTTTGGCAGCCTTGCTTCTGTCAGTGCACCCTTGGGCGGCTGTGGCATCTACAGGTAGTTTTCCATGAGCACTACTTAGAGAAACGACCAATGCAGCTCGGCCTAACCATAGTTTCCACGGGCACGGTTCGGTATTTTCCATCTACTTTCTCCCCTATTCTTAGTCCCCGCTCTGTTGAGGTACCTGGCAAGGCTGAGTCGACCCAGCATTGTGACTCTGGCCGCTGATAGGCTCGCCTCTTTTTCGGTTGAAAATTTAAAGTTACTTTTTTCGTAATTTACGTGGTGCATTTGACAAGACAGAGCTGACGTGCTGCGTCAGTCACTGCCTCTGCTCTGTTCGGGTTTTTTACATTTTTTTTAACTCTCTCTCTCTCTCTCTTTCTCTCTCTCTCTCTCTCTCTCTCTCTCTCTCTCTCTCTCTCTCCCTCCCTCTCTATCTCTCTCACACACACCTTAATCAACATTGTTTTGTTTGACTTTGTGTGGGGAAAAATGCCAAGAACGTTAAGAAAAAATCAGTTTAATCAAATTAAAATAAAAAAATACATAAAGTTGTGTCTGGTTCTAGTATTTCATATTTCCTAGTTCCTACTGCATGATTTCAGATGTATTAATTCATGCACTTAAATATTAATGTTCTGATTTTATTGAAAAACTATTCTGTAATAGTTCCTTTACTATTGTGATCAAATATATTTAATCTCAATTCTGAGGCTGCTCTGTAAATAGTTTTCAAACAAACAATACACATAGCAACTTATGATCATTCCATATAGATTTCAGATTTAAAATAATGTATTGATATAAACCACACCCACTGCTGGTTAAACCATGCCCACTTCCTGGTTATGCCACGTCCCTTCCGAGTACAGATACAGATAATTTAGATGGTTGAACAGATACAGACACAGATAGTGGTGTACTCGCTCATCTCTAGTGGCCACTCACTCAGTTTTACTCGTATATTGCTACAGTGCAAGCTTGCCATTATCAAACAACGTCTTTTTGCAACATAAGATGATTTTTTTTAACTCTTGCGTGTGTTCACCTGGCAACACATTTGTTCTAGAAATGCTTTTCAAATAAAAATTCTGATGAATAAACTCAGAATACACATCATGCATTTTTCTGATTGCTGCGAATGAGAAAACACTTCTCCAAGTCAAACGTGTAGTGCAACCCCCACTTCATAAAACTGGAATGCTTTATTGATCAGAAGCCAGTCATAGTTTCATCAGGTTAAAACATTCAGCAGCCTCCAAGCTGTAAAAGGTCATTTAAATCTGACCATAATGCATACAATTATTCCCAGGTAAGCTGTTTTTTTCCTCTGGGTTTCATAAACCAGGAATGAATAATCTTCTTTTTTCCAGTTTGAAGAAGAATCTGCACAGATAAAAAGGATGACTGGAAGAAATCCCACATATCACTTTGAGAAACGTCAAGTACATTTGTAAAACTGATTTTGTGCTGTTGATTTTTAAGACATATAAAAATGAAATAAATGTCAAATGAGAGTAATTCTGTCTAAAACTAAAGGAATTGTTGTGTTTTGTTTTCAGCTCTTGCGCCAACGCTTCCCAGTGTTCGTTCTGAGGTCTTCAAGCCGTGTGTGGAGGACAAGGACCTCGCCTTTTGTCTAAACGAAGGCGAGTGTTCAATCATCGAAACGGTGGCCGGAGTTCACAGGCACTGCAGGTATGTGCCATGTAGCTTTCTGTGTGTTGATGAGTGAGACTGAGAAGCATTTTGTTTCTCCCTCAGCCTTTTTTCATTTCCTCTCCCTGCCTGTCCAATTACTAACCCGGGTCATTTTCGTTCAGGAAGCTTGATTTGCTCCAATTTAACAGACTGTGTCCGTGGAGACGTATAACACATAAAACTGGAATATTGTTGCAGCAACGCTCATAACATCGTCTAAAGATCTGCACATATCATTACCCAAACTGCTAACCTTTGGTTGTAGGCTTCATAAGATGCAGGCGTTTCTCTGATCATTGTGTAAATGAAAATCTGGATAACTGTGATCCAACTAGGAGGCACATGGGACTGCAAATATGTTGTAACCTCTCTCTTCGCTTCTGTCTACAAAAAGCTCTAATAATGATAGTAATTTCATGAAATGACTCTCTCCTTGTGTATTAACCCAGGAATAAATGCGGTCTGATGTGACCTCTTCAATCTGCGGTGCATTTTAATGGAAAGTTTAAAGGAGATTTTGCAAGATTCCTCTTTGATCTAACTTAAAAGAGAAAGATTTTTTTCTCTTTGTTTGGTTTAGTTTTCTTTCTTGTTGCACTCAGAGTCTCATTCTGGGACTCCCCAAGAGAGTGAGTGACTCCAGTAGACAGACCCGTGGTGTTTTATGTGAAAGGAATCACTGAAATGCTGCCAGACGACTTTGACTGGAGGAAACAACCTTATTCTCAGACTTGTTTTAATTCCTGAAACCACTTCATGGTCTGCATCAGAAACCAAGCTGCATTTTATCTCTTAGTCTTGACATCTAATTGTTTTAATTTGCATCTTCGATCAAATACGAACAAGAAAGAAGGCTGAATGTGTGTGACTTGAGTAAAATGTTTCATGTAAGCAAATGGAAATGTTTGAGGCGTTTTGGGGGGACCTTCTGCAGGGTGCACCCATTGGCTGTATTAAACTTTAAATCGTGAATGCCTACAATGCAGGAGAAGGGAGGAAAGAATTTTGGATGGCCATTTTTTAGAAGTTGGCTTTATAATTACGGAATTTTATGAAGTGGAGCACCTGCATGCAGGACTAACTGCAGGCAGCTGAAAAGGAAACCAATATTTCTTCTTTTTTATTAAGAACGGCACAAAATGCTGCCGGCAGGAAGTCTAGTGACTACAAAATAAACAGACATCCAGAACGATAAACAAAGCACAAATCAAACTGGAGGAAAGCTAACGTAATGCAGCCTGAGAGCAAAGGAAACTGAGCCGAATATATACAAAGGAGCTGATAGCAAATAAAAAGGGAATAAGTGGCAATTAGTAGGAAAACACACACACACACACACACACACACACACACACACACACACACACACACACACACACACTCATGCACACACACACACAATCATGCACACACACACACTCATGCACGTGCACACACACAGCACAATAATACACAAAAAAAGAGCAGTTTTTCAAAATAAAACAAAAGTGATAGCCACTATTAATATATGAAACATTAGACTGGAGTGTGGAAGAATAAAAAGAAACAAACGACAACACAAGACCAAACACATTCTGGATCATAAGGCATTTTCAAGTAACTACCCAAAACTTTCTAACTAAACTGAAAATGACACAAAACAACAATGGAGATCAAACTGAACAAAGTGAAAAAAGTTTTCAAATCAGCCTGAAGCACAGAGTGTCAATCACCGATGGACTTGTCTGTGAAGGTTTAAAAACAGTTCATGCATTTTAGAAAAAATGTGTCATGGATAAATGTAGTTGTTTTTTTTGGCAACAATAGTAAGAGATAGTTTCTGGGACAAGGCAGCAAAAAAGAATAAACCAGACATTTCATGTAAAAACTGCAATTAACATTACACCAAATTTTACACTTTGTGTTTTTTTTTCAAGCATGTGACAGAAAAGCTTGTGTACTATGTAAAAGCTATAGTATGTATAACAGGGAATAGCTGCCATTTACATACCTTAAATCTCTTCAGAATAAGCTGAGCCTATATATGTACACACACACACACACACACACACACAAACACACACACACACACACACATATATATATATATATATATATATATATATATATATATATATATATATATATATGTATGTATATATATGTAAAAACTTTTTAAAAGAGCTTTTCCGTTTTCTTGCCTGCTAAGGTGGTGTTGTTGACTGTGCAGAAAAATGGTGCTTATAATACTGAAGAAGTGTTGATGTTTGTTATAGTCTTTCATATTTAGCTGTAAAAATCTCACTAATTGGTACCTAAACTTTAAAACATCACCTGTAACATGTCCTCCTAGTGTCATATCAAGGCTGCACCCTTTGAAGTGTTTTATATGTTCGAAAAAACCTAAACGCGTAGCAAAGCACATGTAGCATGTGTGTGTGTGTGTGTGTGTGTGTGTGTGTGTGTGTGTGTGTGTTTCACAGAGAGGGTGTGAGTTCTCTTGCTTCTGCCTAAGTATGTTTCTACATGTCTGCTTTCTCTCACACCCTAGTGCACTCAGCAGAATTCTCTCTGATATATCACTAAAAATACAACAGTTTAAAAATACATGACAAGATGCTTTCTGAGCCAGGGGTTGCATGAATGGTGCTGAATCAGAACTATCATTAGCACCTCTGTGGAAACTTCAGTTAAAAACAAATCACTGATAATCAAAGACAAACAGAAAACAGCTGTGCGTTTTATTAAAAACAACGTGAACATGGAGAACATGTCATAAAAATTGAAAGCCTCTGATATATTTATTCCATCAATGAAAATTAGGTATACAGTGTCTTCTGTATGTTCATTCTGTGTATTTTGTCAACTCACATTGCTTGGTTCTTTTAAAACACAGAAAAAAGGAGTTATTCTTTACTTGGTATTGCTAACTTTTTGGCTAATTGCTATAGCCAACATCAGAGTTGTGCCAATGTTGCATCGATTCCTTCTTCGTTTATCTGCGGGCAGCAGAGGACAATGTCGTCCTCTGCTGCCCGCACACTCCTCGTCGATGACACAGTCCCATGTGGCGCAACCAACATAGGCACAACTCTAATGATGGCAATAGCACTTAGCCAAAATTTGAGCCAAACAAGGTCAAGAACAACTAACTCCTTTATTCTGTGTTTTAAAAGAACCAAGCAATATAGGTATATAGTGGCCAGTGAGTGTGTGTGTACAAATATGTATACATACATATATATATATATACATACATATATATATATATATGTATGTATATATATATATGTATATATATATATAGATAGATAGATAGATAGATAGATAGATAGATAGATAGATAGATAGATAGATAGATAGATAGATAGATAGATAGATAGATAGATAGACAGACAGACAGACAGACAGACAGACAGACAGACAGACAGACAGACAGACAGACAGACAGACAGACAGATAGACAGATAGACAGATAGATAGATAGATAGATAGATAGAAGATAGATAGATAGATAGATAGATAGATAGATAGATAGATAGATAGATAGATAGATAGATAGATAGATAGATAGATAGATAGATGATAGACAGATAGATGATAGATAGATAGATAGATAGATAGATAGATAGATAGATAGATAGATAGATAGATAGATAGATAGATAGATAGATAGATAGATAGATAGATAGATCATTTTGCTGATTCAGACGACGTACATCCATGCTGTACACTACGTTTGTATCACCAGTGCGACAGCATCAAAGAAGCCAAGGACTAGGGATGATCACACTCTGGGCTGTAATTAGTGGGAGTTGGATGACTGAATATGGAGCTCAGGAGAGACTCATAGGCCTAACCTGGAGACACAGTCTGCCAGCTTCTCTTTAGCTGAGTGCCTGTTGTGTGAAAGAATGATTACAGGTTTGTGAGTATTTCTGCTGAAAGGTTGCTTCTTTTACCTGACAGAAGTTCAGCCACTAAATCAGAAGAATATAATCATTTAGCTCAGACCCCCCTCCCGCCATGTGGGGGTTGTTTAACGACACAGCTACGAGGTGCGATCTCTGACTTTACTTTTCAAAGTTGTCAATGTGAGAAATAACTTAAGTGTATCAAATCATAGAATAGGAATGGAAAGAACAGGATTTTTGTAGCAGGTATTTAAAGTAGTAAATGTCCAGCTCTTTACAATGCTCATTATGTGCTCTTTTCAAATATTAAATGAGGTTCCTTTTAGCTTTGGACATGAAGGTGTTTTTGAGTTACCTTTTACATGTTTCGACCGTCATCTGCAGTCTTCATCAGAAGATGAAGATGTGTGTGTGTTCATTATGTGAAATGCCTTTTATCATTAAATAGATTCCCTTCTCCAAAGAACAGCTAGCGGAGGTGGGTGTGGCCGACCCGGCAGATCTGACAGATCCGGGTTGGTCGCGCCCACCAGAAGAACAGCTGATGAAGATGAGTCACACAAACACCTGTGACATTTCTGATGAAGACCGCAGACGACGGTCGAAACATGTAAAAGGTCACTCCAAAACACCTTCATGTCCAAAGCTAAAAGGAACCTCATTTAATAAATGTCCAGTTCACAAGTAAAAACTATAGTTAAACTTAAATTTTTTTTGTTCAATTAAAATGTATTGATTCATCAGTAGTTTTAACTTTCTAATTTTGGGAACGTTTCTTTTCGCTGTGCCATGTCCTCTGCATGTCTGTGGATGTTCAGTGTTTCATCCAATCAGGTTTCAGTTTCCGTTGTTACCAGGGGGATCTAATCTGCTTTCACAATCAGTAGAGCAGTCTTCTTTAGTTGTACTGTATGGCAGGAGAGGTGTTTATTGAACCAATCAGCTTTAACATTTACCTCCCGCTAGCTGGCTAATGGTGACATCAGAGGTTTTCTGTCTTTCGACTGGATGGTCAGAGCTAAGCTATCGCCACCTAGTTTTGCTGGAAAAATACTCCTCAATGATTTGCACACATCATCTCTTTTATTTATTTCAATCTAATGC